GCAGGGAAATGAATAGAGTGGCTTCTGGAAAGAGGTCCCCAGCGTCTATGTGATTCTATGATAGGAACGAGAGCCCCAATGATAGGACCAGACAGGTATGAAAATGATAGAATTCAGGCCATGTTCCAATCTTCTTCCTTTGGGTGGGAACAGGGGTTTTCCATTTCTTCAGCAGTTCTCTGGAGTCTCCCATTCCCCAACTTTTAAAATCTTCTCTCCCTCCCTCTTCAGAGCTTATTGGAGGTCTGTCCCTGGCACATACCCTCTTTTGCAGAAACAAGGAGCGTGAGGTGGAGACAGGATAGGTTAGAACACAAGATCCAGTTTAGTGTGTTCCAGCCCAGTCCCCACTAAGCCCAAGTCCTTATCTCCCCCTGGTAGCGGGGCTCACTGCAGACAGAGGAAAACTGCTGGGCCACTCAGACCCATCAGATTGGCACCCCCACTGGAGATTATCTCCTATACAGATACCCCCTTCTGAACTGGGGATGTAGGGCTTTGAAACTAGAAAATGCCAGGTCTGAAAGAGAGGAAAGAGCAAGTCCAACAACACACAGAGCTCTTGTGTATTCAGAGGAAAGTTGGCAGGGTTGTGCTCGGGCAGAGAAACTCCGAGTGGTACAAAGAGACGTGCTCAGAGTGGAGAAATCATGCTAATTGTCCACACCAGAGCTGGAGAACACCACCCAAAATGAAGAGAGAAAAGGGAGCCCTGTCCAGAGCCTTCAGTGTCCTGCGCCTCGCTCCTTTTGTCTATCTTCTTCTGATCCAGACAGGTAGGAGACCAGAAGGGTAAGAAAGGGTCCGGAGAAGGGGCCAGGGCTTTCAAAGGGAGGGGAGAGTGGAGGGCCAGAATGTCTTTGGGGCTGGAGGAGGGGAGAGGGCTCAGCTGCCGTGGGAAGCATCTCAGTGAATTCAGGCATTAGTGTTGAATGTATTTCTTCATTCTGTTGCTGGCTGCCCGGCCCCTGCCCCCTCCCCCAAAAGGCTGCATGACTTTGGAGCTCCCACGGCATTCAAGACATTAGATGAAGGGCAATGAGCCATTTCTTATGGGATGTCTTGTTGGCGTGGACCAGTTCAGCATTCTTTCCAAGGATTATGGTGGGGCTTGGAGGGGTGGGGGAATCTTGGTTTTGTGCCTCCCCAGTCCCCTACCCTGCCTTCTCTGGCTGTAAAACAGCAAAAGATGTAAGAAGTTTTGGAGATGACGGGCCTCCTGGTTTTGGATAATAACACCAACCTACCCCATACCTCATCCCACATCATAGGCACCTGCCTCCTATACCAACTCCTACCAACTCCTTGGAGAATTGATCTTATGTTAAGTATATTTGTTTGTGCAGGGGTGGGGGGGGGACGCCTAGAAATTCACAATTTAGTTGGGCAAACAGATGCTGAGATCATTTTAATAAAACGCAGAAGCTATGAGTCAGATATGCAATGGATGCCCAGGATCAGAGAGAGGTCACCAACCCCATAAGGAAGCTGGCGCTGGTGGTGCAGGGGTGGGGGAATACCAGGGGAAGTCTCCTGAGAATGTCTGCACTAAATTTTAAAGGATGAGAAAAATAGGTAGGTATGGAAGTAGGCATTATAGCTGGGAAAATGGGCAAAGGTCAATAGCTCTAATGGTATCCTGTGTTTAGGAGCAGCCCAGCCATTCACCATTGCTGGAGAGGAAAGTGTGAACTGAGTTAGGCAAGAGCCTTATAAACCATACTTAGTAAACTGGAATATAATCTGTAAACAATGGAGTAGGGAGGGTATTGAATGATTTTAATCTAGAGACTGGCAGGACCAGACTTGCATTTTGGATAGCTCACCCCGCAGGGAGGCATTGCAGGAGAAACTGGAGGCAAACAAGATAGAAAAAGAAACTGGTATTCATTTCCTAGGGCTGATATAACAAAAAACCACAAAGTAGGTAGCTTAAAAAACAGAAATTTCTTGTCTCACAGTTCTGGAGGCTAAAATTTGAGATCGAGGTGTCAGTAAGACCATACTCCCTCCGATGGTGCTAGGGAAGGAACACTTCCAGGCCTGTCTGATAGCTTCTAGTATTTCCTTGGCTTGTGGCAGAATAACTTCAATTTCTACATGACGTTCTCCCTGTGCTTGTGTATGTGTCCAAATTTCCCATTTATAAAAACACCAGTCATATTGGATTAACAGCCCACCCTACTCCAGTATGACCTTACCTTAGCTTATTACCTCTGCAATGACCAGGTACTGGGAGTTAGGACTTCAGCATATACACTTTAGGGGCCATGATTCAACCCACAACAAGGCTACTACAATAGTTTACAAGAGAAATAACATGGGCTGGAATTAGAGTAAAGATGGAGGGAATGAAGTGTGATAACATAATATTTTGGAGGGAACATCAGGACCTAGTGATTGATAAGAGTGAGAGGATCCAGAGAGCGAGGTAGGGTTTCTGTGTGAAATCTTAAACAAAAAAATGGTATAGGGTTAGGGGTATGGTAATTAATATTGTCCATGTTGAGGTTGAAATGCCTATGAGACATTTGTGGGGAAATGTTAAATAGCCTGAAGCTGGGAGGCAGGGAGGTCAGGGCTGAAAAGAGGTTATTTGGAAGCTGTCAACCCATAGGTGAGATTTAAAATGATGAGAATGGATAATAGCACCTAAGAGGAGAAAATAGGCTGAAAATAGAACACTGAGTAACCCCAAGATTTGTAGAGGAAGGCAGAAGGGAAAAAATCCCATTGAGAAGTCCGAGAAGGAACAGTCACAGAGACAGAGGTAGAATTAGAAGACTGTGGTGCCCAGACAGTCAAGGGAGTTGGGAGTTTCCTGGAAAATCAACATCAACTGTATCAAAGAGGCCCAGCATAATAAGAACCTAAAAGAGTCCGTTAGATATGACAATTAAAAGGTTACTAATAGCCTCAGTGAGAGCAGTCTCAGTGGAAATTACAATGAGTTGAGGAAATAATGAGAGCTGCAGGTATGGAGACAGTGAATTGGGAATAGGAAGTACACACAAAATATACAAATCAGAGACATCTCTAAATTCCCTCAGATCATCAAATGGTAAGGAAAAAATTATAGAAAGGCATGTTAGTGTGACTAGGCAAAAACAAAAGGTGACAAAGGGTCTAACATGTGGGAGAATGTAACCTAATAATGATATCCAAAAAAATCTAAATATAAACTATTCTAATAAGATATTAGCTATGACCTATGACAGATAACAGGTAAGCGCAAGGTCAGGCCATTGTTCTGCTGTGGACTCAAGAGCATAAAGAGCTGAGATTCTATCAGGAATTTCTGCCATCTTCAATATATTAGTTAGGAGAATACCAACTTCTGTGACAAATAGATTCCAAAGATTAAGTTCTTGGCCTTAAGCATGTAGTAGTACAATGTAGTTTCAGGCTAGGCCTGCGATGAGAAAGAACCCTACTCCATGAAGATTTTCAGGGACCAAGCTGATAGTGTTCTCCATTTCTTTCAAGTAGAGAATTTTTAAAAGGGGAGGAGGGGTGGAGTCCTAAAGCAGCCTGTAAGTGGTACCTATCACTTCCACGGGTTCATTGGCTAGAACTCAGTCACATGGTCATCCCTAACTGTAAGGGAGGCTGGGAAATATAGTTTTTAAGATTGGCACTAAAAGGGGGCTGGACCATGTCACACTGGTTCCCAAAGGTTAACCTTAATCCCTTATGCGTATGGCTGCAACCACCAAGCTAGCCTCAGGCAAGTAACAGTCTTTAATGCTCTGTCCTTAATATGGACTAATGAGGCTTTCCTAAATTCATCACAGCCCAATTCATGAGACACTCAAATAAGGCTTTTCTAGAAACTAGGACACAATTTTACAGACACAAACACAGCATGCCATAAATCTAAACACTCTTGATTTGCAAGATTTTACTCTCTGGGATCCTAGAACTATTCCATCCTCTAGGGACCCAATAGGAAAAAGTCCCTTGCCTGGGTTCCATCTTTTAGTCCTAAGATCGCCTCCATTTATGGTTGCTGTCTTTTTATTATTATTATTATTATTATTATTATTATTATTATTGCAATTAAAAATTGCATACAGAAAAATGCATCTAGCATAGGATACAGTTTAATGAAACTTTAAACAGGGAACAAACTCATGTAATCAGCCCCCAAGATCAAGGAATAAAACACTTCAGCACCTCAGAAACACCCCCATCCTATTTTAGTTACGACTGCCCTCCCTGCGGGTCACAGGGGTATCCTAACTTCTAATACAAATTAATTTTTCATGTCTTCGAGCTTTATATAAGTGGAATCATATGTATGCATTCTTTTGTGTCTGGCTTCTTTTCACTGAACACCAAATTTGTAAGATTCATTCATGTTGTTGAAATTGCAGTTTGTTTGGTCTCAGTGCTATATAGTATTCCATTGTATAAATATACCACAATTTCTTTATCTATTCAACTTTGATAGACAGTTTGGTTGCTTCCAGTTTGGGGCTTTATAAAAAGAGTTAGGAAAACATTCTAGTATGTGTCTTTGGGTGAACAGATATACACATTTCTTTAGGGGAATATACCTAGGAGTAGAATTGCTGAGTTATATGTGTGTGTTACGCTTTAGTAGATAAGGCCAAACAGTTTTCAGGAGTGCTTATATCAATCTACATTCCAGTCAGCAGTGTATGAGAGTTCTTCACCAAGAATTATCTCCTCTTTTTCATTTTAGCCATCCTAGTGAGTACGAGGTGGTATCAAATTATGGTTTAAAATTGCATTTCCATGGTTATTAATGAAGTTGTATCTTTTTCATATCTTTATTAGCTATTTAGATAACCTTTTTTGGGAAGTGCCTGTTCCAAGTCCTTTGTGCATTTTCTAATAAGTTTCCTGGATTTGTTTTAAATATTGATTTGTAGAAGTTTAAAATATATTTTTTGGGTATGAGTCATTTGTAGGATATACGAGTATGTATTATAATTATCTCCTGCTCCACAGTTTGCCTTTTCACTCTCTTAATGACATCTTTTGATGAACAGAAGCTCTTAATTTTATTATGTCCAATGTATCATTTTCTTCTTTTATGGGTGCCACACTTTTCTGTCCTAAGAAATCTGTGTCTGCCCTCAAGTTGTGGAGATATTTTCCTATGTTTTCTTTTTAAAACATTATTGTTTTATCTTTCACTTTTAGCTCTACAATCCATCTAGAACAGATATTTGGGTAAGGCATGAAGTAAGGGTTAAGATGCATTTTTCTCTCTCTATGACCCAGCACTACTTATTGGAAAAAAAAAATCTTTTCCCCACTACACAGCAGTGCCACCTTTGTCATAAGTCAAATGATCATATATGTCTGTTTTTGGACTCTCTATTCTTCCTTGTCCTACTTGTCTATCCTTGTGCCAATATCACAAAGTAAAAACCTCCTGGAATTTTGATTGGTATTGAATTAAATACATAAGTAAGTTCGGGAGAATTGGCAGCTTAACAACAGCGATTGTTTCAATCCAAAACATGGTAATCTCTGTGTTCTGTCTTAATACCATCAGTCGGGTGTACATTACCGAATATCTACACTCTGTAGAGTGTAGAGAAAAAGCTACCAAGACCCCTTTCATCCTGGATCCCAAGGACCTTCTTCCCAATTTCTGTTCCCTGGTTTTCTCCTGCATTCCTGAGCGATGGGCACTTCAATGATTTCACATTATTGTAGGCCCTTAGAGGTCTCAACAGGATAACAATATAAGAATACAACACAATAACCCTGACATGTTCACACTCAGAGATGCCCCCATACAACAGGGCCCCAGGAGGGAGGTGTTTCCTCAGAGCATCACTATTTACGAAGGATATTAAAAAACAAAAGGAGGAAGCATTTTTTTTTTTTTTAGAAAACCATGCTATGTGCTGCCCTTGGATTACTGTATGCAGTTCTGGTCACCACACCTCAAAAAAGAAATAATAGAGTTGGAGAAATCCCAGGGAAGGGTATATCTAATGACCAAATGGATGGAAGGACCTCCTTGTAGAGACAGAGCCAAACAAAACAAAAAAACCTTCACATAAAAAAGGGATATAACTGCAGTCTATGGTGTTAGAGAGTATGGATTAGGTGTATGTAGACCAAATCCTAGAATACATGTTAGGCACCAACACATGGACACTTTTAAAAGGTAGATTTAAGGCAAATACTGGTAAATGGAAACATTTGCCAAGCAAAAAGGAGCACATAAAAATGAGTAGATGGTGGTTTCTTTAAAGGAAGATGCTATTAAAGGAACCCAAGGGTATTGCCAGGTACATTCTTATACTTTAAAGCTTGACATTGCTTGGTGTCACAGCAGGTCAAAATCCTACTTGACAAAGGCCACCTACCTGACCCAGTATGGCATGTTTAAGTTGATAGGTACATCTTGCTGCAATGTCAATTTTCTTTCATTCAGCCTCTGGTGGGAACAGAGACTTTGTACATAATGATGCCTCAGAGACTCGAGAACAATAATTAAGTTAATCGCTTCTCAAGGTTGAATAGTCCTAGTCCCTTTTATTTCCACTGTAGATCACAATTGTTAGCCATTTCCTCATTTCTGTGTCCCGCTTTGGCAACTGTCCCAGTTCTCTGTGTCCCTTGAAAGCTATGGAACCCTGAACTTAATACAGACTCTAATTTTGGCAAAAGTTTTAAGAAACAGTGTTTGCTCAGCAAAATGCCCTCTTTGTCGGCCCCTGAGAAAACTGCTCCATTCAATTCTGAACACACATACATATATTCCTTTAAGTCATGGGCAGGAGGAAAACACCCATCTAGAGGAGGGTGAGGCCTAGGGCAAGCCATAGGCTGTAGGTCCTCCAGCATTTTTATCCAGAAGAATCAAGTTTAAATTGGTAGAAAGAGCAGACTTGAGTGGGGAAAGACATCACAAAAGGACCACTAGGACCTTGGATAGGATAGGAGAGAGTGGACGCAGGGGAAGCTCAAGAGGGAGCCAGAGAAGGTACAAGGCAGAGGGGGAACCCCTTCCACTTTTCCTTGGGGCTGGGACTGTCACTGTCCAGACTCCTGGAAGGAGGAAACGAGAACCTCAAACTCTGGTGTTTGGGTGCTTAAGCCCTAGGATGGCTCTGTATATATAACCTTGATATGCATACCCAACTGCTTCAGACTGGGTCCTGAGGAAGCGGGGGTAGATGTTCCCCAACTATCTGATCATCACTCTCATGGCCTTATGAAGCACAGTGATTTTTTTTAGGGCCACCTCAAGTCACACAAACCAAAGTCTATTTGCCTATTCAAGGAAATTTGAAAGCTTGCTTTTCTAAATCAAGCCAAGTGTGGGACCTAGTAGTTGCTAGGCAGGAAATCTTATTTAAATAATCACAGAAACTAGAGCTGGAAGGAATCTTAAGGATCATGTGGTCAAATGGATTTCAGTCTGATACATGGAAATGTAGGGATTGCTCGTAGCATCCCACATTATTGGGGAGGACACCACCTGTCCTACCAAGTCCGATGAACTGGAACTAGATTGCTTTTCATTTTTATATCAGGTTTGTGGGGACAAAAATACCTTTAATAAAAAAATATTTGAAAATAATTGATACCTCCCCCAAATCAAGACTCCTCTCAATTACAAGCATATAATATTCATATATATGGCAGCTTTAATCATTAGTCTCCTCCATACTTATGATTCTAGCATACCTGGCAGGTAATGAATACCAGAGTTGGGGAGGCCCCTAGACAACATCTGGTCCCACCATCTCATTATACAGGGGAGGAAACTGAGGTACAAAGAGGTGAAAGAATAGTCAATTGGTCTTTCCTTGACCACTTCCCAAAATGATGAGCTCACTACTGAACAAAGCTTTTGTTCTAAAAATGGATTGAATATGTTTATTACCTTAAACTTGCTTTGCTCTCCACAACTAACTTTTTAGTTTAATTGCCTCCTGGTTTGGTCTGAGTCTTCTAGGCACAGGAAGAGAAATATGAAATGAAGAGAAAGATACAGCTCAGCTTTCTCACATCTAAACTGCAGCAGTAGCAGAGTGGGAAATAGGGGTGAGAAAGAAAGAAGGAACTTCAGAGGCAATGGCAGTCAAAGGAAGCAGCTGGGGGCGCAGAGGTACCGAGAACCTGACCATGTATGTGTCTCATCCGCTAAATTCAGCCCTGTTCCCAACTGATATCATCTTCAGAATACCCTCCTTCATGTGGTTATACTGCTCTACAAGGCCAGGTGACACCAATGAACAGCATCTGTTCAGGCCCCAAAGTTTCTAAGAGATCCCTGAAATGTGAGATGTGTCTCTGGATGGGGCAGCCATTGGACAAGAGGGTAATATCCCAGAATCATAGGGCTGGAACAAGCCGATGAGACCGTCTAGATAACCACTCACTATACCTATGGGAAATCTCAGCCCTGGACCGATAAGTGATTTCTCCTAGGTCCTAAGTCAACAATGGGACCCAAATCTCTGATGCTCAATCTTGTGTTCTCACCACTACACAACAATAGCTGACACATATTGTGATTTTCCGTTGTGACTTGATATGGCAGTTGCTCTTGTTATTGTTATTATTCTTATTTTCTAAATGAGAAGAGTGAGGCCTAGAAAGACGACTTGCCCAAATCCACACAGCCAGTAAGTGGTGGAGGTGGAAGCCAATCTTACAAGCCCTTCTGATCCCAAACTCTTTATTCTACCCATCCCAGATGCAAATTGGGCTGGGGTTTGGGTGAATTTCCAAAACCATCTACCCCAGTTCTGCACTGGGCAGGCCTAGTAAGATGCTACGTGCAGCTGGGGCAAAGACAGGAAGGGCTCTTGGTCTGACTGGAGGGTGGCCCAGTTGTCTTCAGGCTTAAATATCCCCTTTATTGACACTGTCTTGTGATATATTCCTTTCTTTGTGACTCCATGCCCCCATGTTTTCTCTACCACCCCACCCCATCTCACTTCCCCATCCCCCCAATCAAGAAGAAACTCTGACAAACTCACCCTAAGGTCTAATGACATAAGTTACAGGGGATAAGGATGTTTTTCTGCTTCACTCATTGCTATATCCCAAGGACAAAGAACAGTGTCTGGCATATGGAAGTGCTCAATAAATATTTCTGTGAACAGAGCACGCAGGGTGTGGGTGAGCTGGAATCTTCCTCAAGAGGAAGGCAACGAGGAAAACTGCCAGAGGCAGAGGGCCAGAGAGAAGAATTGAAGGCAATGGGGTGGGTGTGAGGGATGACAGGGGAGCAGAGGGGCCCGGAGTTACAGTGGGAGAGTGAGAAGGAAGGACTGCTTGGGCGTAAAGGGCCCCCTGGGCGTAAGGGGCCCGGAAAGGATAGGTATGAAGAGATCAGAGGACTTAAAGGTGGGAATGGGATAAGGAGCCAAGGGCCTGACGCTGCCGGCTCCCCATGGCCTCTATTCACAGAACCCCTGCAGGGGGTGAACATCACCAGCCCAGTGCGCCTGATCCGTGGCACGGTAGGGAAGTCAGCCCTGCTTTCCGTGCAGTACAGCAGCACCAGCAGCGACAAGCCTGTGGTGAAGTGGCAGCTAAAGCGGGACAAGCCAGTGACCGTGGTACAGTCCATTGGCACAGAGGTCATTGGCACCCTGAGGCCTGACTATCGAGACCGCATACGCCTCTTTGAAAATGGCTCCCTGCTTCTCAGCGACCTGCAGCTGGCTGATGAAGGCACCTATGAGGTTGAGATCTCCATCACTGATGACACCTTCACTGGGGAGAAGACCATCAACCTCACTGTAGATGGTAAAGAGCTATGGCAGGGAAGGAGGCAGGACCAGGACTGGGACTGGGGCTAGACCCTGGGGAAACCAACACAAAAAGCCACTTGGGAGCTGGGAGTGAGCCAACTGGATGTTAGAAGTTGCCAGATCAGCTACAGTTAACATGTATAGATTACTTACTACATGCCAAAAACTATTTTAAGTGCTTTGCATATATTGACTCATTTCATGCTTGTAATAATCTAGGGATGTTATTATCATTATCCCCATTTTGCAGAAGAGGAAACCGAGGCACAAAGAGGTTGAGTAACTTGCCCAAGTCATGCAGCTAGTAAGTGATAGAGCCAATATTTGAACACAGACAGTTGTACTTAGGCTTAGTTTTCCAGGCTGGCACAGTTTAAGGCATCTTAGAAAGGGATTTGGGAAGAAGGGAAGGGAAGATTCTTGAGGGCAGGGACTATGGCTGTCTTGTTCAGAGTCGTATGCCCTGTGTTTAGTAGGTGCTCAATAAATAGCTGGTAAATAAATGAGTGACTAAAAGAATAAATGAATGGATGGATGGATGGAAGGATGGATGGATGATGGTGAAGGACTGTACTGATGAGCTCTTAAGGGCCTCTCAGACCACAAATTGAGTTGTGTTGTGTTGGAAAGTGGGGGAAGGGAGAAGCTTGTTGGCTCACGGCTCACAGGTTCCCCACCCCTGGGCTCAGTGCCCATTTCAAGGCCACAGGTGTTAGTAGCTTCGACCACTGTACTGGAGCTCAGTGAGGCCTTCACCCTGAACTGCTCGCACGAAAATGGCACCAAGCCCAGCTACACCTGGCTGAAGGATGGCAAGCCCCTCCTCAATGACTCGCGAATGCTCCTGTCCCCCGACCAAAAGGTTCTCACCATCACCCGTGTGCTCATGGAGGATGATGACCTGTACAGCTGTGTAGTGGAGAACCCCATCAGCCAGGGCCGCAGCCTGCCCATTAAGATCACCGTGTACAGTGAGTATCCCTGCTACCCTCCCTTAGGACTCAAACCCCTGACAGACAGGTGCCCATGAGTGACTATGGACGTCCCAGAGGGAGAGAGAGGCAGAGATGAGCCAGCTCTCTGTAGAGGACAGCAACAGGTGGGAAGTGGGCTCTGGGCACACTCTGCCATGGTCCGGCCATACTGCCCGGGACTCCTTTTCTCTTCTATCCACTGTAGGAAGCTCTCCTCACCACATCTGGTGCCTCCGCTGAAGTCTCTCCTGCCTCCCTGCCTCTCTCTCTCCCTAGGAAGAAGCTCCCTGTACATCATCTTGTCCACAGGAGGCATCTTCCTTCTTGTGACCTTGGTGACAGTCTGTGCCTGCTGGAAACCCTCCAAAAAGTCTGGGTAACTCCCCGAGTTCCATACCCCGAGCATCCTAATCCTTCAATCCATCCCAACCCCAAGTTCTCTTCTTTTCTTAGTCTCTTTAAATGCCTTTCCTCCCAGGGCCCTGCACCTCTTCCCAGAAGATCCATCTCACCACTGTGTATGTTGTGTGTAGAACCACCTCCTGTGCTCACAACCCCTGACGATTCAGCAGTCTTAATAACGGTTTCACTTGCAGGGCACTTTTCACAGGCCAGGCACTGTGGTTGTGGTTAGTGTGCTACCGTTTAAGCATGATTACCTGCAGTTTACAGATAAGGACACTGGGACTCAGATTGGTTAAATGGCTTGCCCAGAATGTTAGTGACAGACAGACTCTGGGATGACTTGTGACTCATTCCAGCCCATCCTTCTGTTACAAGGCCTCTCTTACAGCCATCAAATTCCCTGTATCCCCGCCCCTGACCACCTCCTGCTCACATTCAGTAGTAGCTCTATTCACCGGGTCCTGGGTTGATTTGCAGGAAAAAGAGGAAGCTGGAAAAGCAAAACTCCCTGGAATATATGGATCAAAATGATGACAGCCTGAAACCAGAAGGTGAGCTCCCAGCTCCCCACTCACCCATCCCATCGTCACTCAGATCAGTGGGCTGCTGGGAAAAGGCAGAACTGGGCGACAAGGAAGCCAGCTCTGCAGGGCCCCTTCCTCCACCAACTGCACGAAGACTGCAGAGCAGGGAGAGGTGCAACCAAGGTAGGACCCCAGGTGTTGCTGGTCCTTTGGTTGAGGTTGTGGCGGGGCCTTGACTGGCCACTTGGGGAGCAGAGTGTAGGTGCCGACTGGTGGGAAGGGTTCTGTACCTCAGCCAGCCACCCATTCTTTGCCCTGTGCAGCAGACACCCTCCCACGAAGTGGAGAGCAGGAGCGGAAGAACCCCATGGCACTCTATCTTCTGAAGGACAAGGTGAGCAGCTCTGCGCTGGGTGCCTCACAAACACCAATGAGCCCCCAGCACCTCCTGTTGCTAGGTTGCCATACCATACTGATATTCCTTTATAATACTCAGAATAATCTGAGAAATCTTTGTGTCACCCCCACTTTACAGAGTAGAAAACTAGGCTGACGAAGGTGAAATGAATTAAGCCTTGTCAAACAAGGAAGCGGCAGGTCTAGGCTTCCAACCAGGTCTTTGGACACCAGCCCTGGTGATTTCCTCTGTATTCCACCACCAACTCTGTTCATGTGGTATTTTCCACCAAGACAGGTGAAAGAGGAGAGTAAGCGGACAAAGCACTCAAGTTAATGCATTTCAGCATTTACTGAGCACCTCCTATCTGCCAGGAACCATGTTAAGTGTTGTGTATTGCAAGAAAAACCACACCTATATGTCTGCCACCTTCCAGGAGGTGGGAGTGTGTTGGGAACTATCTCCTTCACCTCGGTCTTCCCAGCGCCCTGGAACACCAAGCGCGCCCCGAGACCGGGCCGCTGTCCGCTGACCCCGGCGCGTGTCCTTGCAGGACGCCCCGGAGGCCGAGGAGGACCCTGCCCAGGAGCCCCGGAGCGCGACGGAGCCCGGCCCGCCCGGCTACACCGTATCACCGGCAGTTTCCGGCCGCTCACCCGGGCTGCCCGTGCGCTCTGCCCGGCGCTACCCGCGCTCGCCCGCGCGCTCCCCCGCCCCCGGCCGAACGCACACGTCGCCGCCCCGAACCCCCGGCTCTCCCGGCCGCTCGCGCGCACTGAGGACTGCGGGCGCGCGCCTGATCCGCGAGCAGGACGAGACCAGCCCAGTGGGGATCAGCGCCTGAGCCTCCCCCGGACCCCCCTCCGGGGGCGCCCGCGCAGTGCGGCGGGGGGAAGTGGGGAGGCCGGGGTCTCCAGGAAGCGGGGCGAGGGGAGGTTCCCTGCCGGGGCTCACGGGGCGCACTGAGTCTCGCCTGCGGACGAGTATGAACATGTGCAGATGGGGGACGCAGCGGGGCGCGAGAGGCTGATCAGGGGTAAAACAGGGTCGCGTTTGCTCGCCGTTCACTAGCTGTGTTCTGGGTGGATATGGATTGTGCCCCCATAGGACCACATAGGTTATTAAATTTCCGGCCCCGTTCCCCAAGGGACTTACGGAAACTAACATCAGTAACCTAACCCCCATGACTATCCCTTGCCCTTCCTAGGGAGCTCCGGTGCTTCCCACCCACCTCTCTTCCTCCGAACGAACGCCTGGTTCCTGGAGCACTTTTTTTTGGCAAGCCCAGATTAGAGAGGCCACTTGCCCAAAACGCACAACTGTCCTTAAACTAAAGGGATGTCGGATGCCGGTTCCCGGGTATACAGGGCTGTTCTGAGCATCCTGAAATCATTGTGAAGGCAGTGCCTTGGAGCACCCTTCTCTCAGCACCTGGTACCTACCCGTTGGGAGAGAGGCGCTCAAGCACATTTCATTGCCCCCTGACCTGGGCCCTAGCAAGGACAAAGGAGTCAAGCCCCCGTGCTTGGCCTCCTCTCAAAGCCTCCCTCAGTGGCATGCCAAGCGTTCTTTCCGTTTCTATGCCTACAGAGAAGGGGATTCTCACTCAATCCCCTAACGCAGAAAGCTAGATAAAGTGAAGAACTGATTTTAACCCCTCACACCTATGCCTTCTCCCTGGCTTCCTTCCTTACAAAATAAGCCTTTGAAACAATCACTATCCCTGGGAAAGGCTGTTGGGCTTCCTCCAGCTGTGAGAGAATAGGTTTGACTTTCAGGGAAATGGTGGGGGAGGAGGAAGCTTGTTGCTGCCCAGCATGTCCCTGAGACATGATCCCACCCTTGGCCTCCAGCCTCCAGGAACCTGCCCTGTTCCCAGATGCTCCGATCCCAGGAGACAGGAGAACAGCAGACACCCTAATTGCACAAACATCACAATATGGAGAGAGTGGGCCACTGTGGAGCCGGGCCATGCCCAGGCCCAGGCCCCCATCTCTGGAGCAGTTTGTAAGAGAGACAATGATCTACTGTGTGAAGAGAGAGGACAATTAAAAAGCTGACAGAGGAAGGCTTGTGTGTGTCCTGATCCCTCTTCCCTGATGCCTCTAGGGGTCCTTGCACCTCTGGCCCCTCTCCAACCTCATAAACTCCAGTTCTAACTCTCTACTGTCCCACAGAGCAATTCCCGAGAGCAAGTTTGGTCCCAGCCCCCAGGGCAACAACATTTCCAGTTGGGACTTCCACTCTCACCTAACAGCACGTCCCCTCCCAGCTCCCTGTCTCCACGCGCTTCTCCGGGCTCATTTGTGCAGGTGTGCCTTTGCAGCTCCCCTTAATTAGCCAGAATTGCTCCCCTAACCTTCCCCGGTACCTCATCCAGAATGAGATAAAGCACGTGCCTAAGTGGGAGATACAGGACTTGGAAAATGGATATATACTGGTCAACCTGGAGAGGCAGGGGTGAAAGTGAGGGTGAGATGAGACCATGCCCATACTCCATTCCCTGGTGCTGAATCCCCGAGGGCCTGGCTTCCTGGCTCAAGCCAAATCTGCCTTAAAGGGGGGTGGGTGGGAGGGTAAGTAAGGAAGTGGGTTTTGTTTCTATTTTGTTCTGATCTTCATCTTTGTATTTAGCATCTAGCAGAGTGCCTAGCACATACTGGATGCTCAATAAACTTTTGATGAAATGAAATGACAACTTTCTTCCACTTAAGCAAGGAGAACAAAACAAAAAGCTTTAAAACACCAGTCATTTCCCTTTTCTCTTTAGTTCTCATCTTCCTTCACCATCCTTCACCCTCTTTGCCAACCCCAAATTGTTCACTCCAAAATCATTACTCACCCTTTCATTCATTCAGGTATTCTTTCATTTATTCAAAAACATTTCATTTAACATAGACCAGGCCATGTGCCAGACACTGGGAAAACATTGAAACTATGCCATGACCTCTACCCAGAAGAAGTTTCATGGAGGAAGACTGACGAGTAAGCAGATTATTACAATACAGCATGGAAAATGCAATGACAGAGGTAGATACAAGGTGCTCGGGGGGCATATAGGAGAGTCATTTAACCCAGAATAGGGGTTGTCAGCAAAGGTATCATGGAGAACAGGCCTGAATTTAGTTTTAGAAGGACTAGTTAATCAGGTGAAGAAGAAAAAAAATGAGAACACATATTCTAGGCAGAAGGAGCAGCATGGATAAAAGCTTGGAAGTGTAAAGTGAGTGCAGACTACTTAGCACTCATAAAATGTGGATTACCCAAGGGCAAATATTTATATGATATTTGTAGAACTCATGAGATACATAAACATTAATATAATGTAATGGAAGGCTAGACCAGTGGCAAGGTGGGGGAGCTGAACTTGAGACTCCTGGATTAAGTTGGTATCCCAGAAGGGGCCCCCCAGTTGGTAGTATCCCAAGCTTCTAAAATAAAAATGCAAATTCTCTCCAGAGAAAATCATCTCCTAAATTTTTCAGAGATTAAGACCAAAGATGAATTGACAACGACAGGTCATTAAACACAGAAGGAAATGAATCACTACGAATGAGAGTCAACTGATTAAGAAGCAATAGATTTAGACTCCCAAGGCCTTTAGATATTGAAATTATCAGATATAAAATATAAAATAATTATTAAATACTTAAAAGACAAAATTACAAAAATGAGTAAGCAGCAAGAGACTATCAAAATTGATCTAATTTGAAAAGGAACAAAATGGAATTTTTTTTCCCATTAGTTTCAGGTGTACAAAACAATGTAATAGTTAGATATTTCACCCCTCACAAAGTGATAACTCTCTTCCCCTAACCTATTGTCCCTCTGACATTGTATATATCTATTACAATTCCACTGACTCTATTCGCTATGCTGTACACCATATCCCGTGACTATATATATTGATATATTAAATTATAGTTGACATACAATATTCTTCAGCTTCCGGTGTACAGCGCAGTGGTCAGGCACCTACACAGTCCATGAAGTGGTCTCCCTAATAAGACCTGTGCCCATCTGACACCCTATAAAATCTTTACAACATTATTGATTATATTCCCCAAACTGTCTTTCATATCCCCGTGGCAACATTGTAGTTACCAATTTGTGCTTTTTAATCCCCTCCCCTTCTCCCTCATCCCCATCCCCTTCCCAACAAAATAGAATTTTTGTAAATGAAAGTATAATGTATTGAAATAAAAATGTAAATAAAAGAGCTAAACAGCACATTAAATACAGCTGAAGAGAGTTATTTAATTGGAAGATGTATGTGAAGAAATCATTCAGAATAAGACACAAACAGACAAGGAGATGAAAATATGAAAAAGAGGGATTAAGGGATAAGGTATGTAGAATGAAAAGGTCTAATACATATTTCATGAAGAGCTCAAAGGTGAGAATAGAGAGATGGAGGAGAGGCAATATTTTAAGAGTAATGACTGAAATTTTTGTAGAACTCATGACAAACATAAATATACAGATACAGGAAGGTTAACACAAGGTTAAAAGATTTCCATACCTACATAAATGTAGTAAAATTAGAATATACCAAAGACAAAGAGAAATCTTAAAAGTAATCAAAGAGGGCCTGCCGAGTGGCTCAGTTGGTTAACAGCGCGAGCCCTGAGCAAGAGGGTCGCCGGTTGGATTCCGCTGAGCAGCCAGCAGGTGGCAGGATGGCTCAGCTGGTGAGAGAACATGCTCCTAACGACAAAGTTGCCAGTTCAACTCCCACATGGGATGGTGGGCTATGCCCACCCACAACTAAAATTGAACACGGCACCTTGAGCTGAGCTGCTGATGGGCAGCCAAATGGCTCAGTGGTTAGAGCGCGCGCTCCTAGCAACAAGGTTTCCGGTTCAACGCCCTAATGGGATGGTGGGCTATGCCCACCCGCAACTAAGATTGAACACAGCACCTTGAGCTGAGCAGCCGTGAGCTGCCGACAGGTGGCCGGATGGCGACTGGACTTGGAGCTGAGCTAGCTGCGCCCTCCACAACTAAGATTGAAGGACAACAACTTGGTTCCCCTTCCCCAATTCCCCAACACTGTTCCCCTTCCCCAATTCCCCATTAAAAAAAAAATCTTAAAAAAAAGTAATCAAAGAGAAAAAAATGGATCATAAACATTTAGACAACAATAATGAAAATCATTAGAAAGTGAAATAATATCATTTAAATGACAGGCAAAAATAACTGTTAACCTAGAATACTGTACCTAGCAAAACAATCTTCCATATCTGAGGGCAAAATAAAGATATTATCACATGAACAAATACCAGAGCTTACCATCAACACTAAAAGAACTAAAAGAAATATTTTAAGAAGAGGGAAAATTTTTCCAAAGGAAAGTTTTGAGATACAAGAAAGAATGGTGAGCAAAGAGATAAGTACAATGAGAAAAGCAAATCTGAACAGTGCCTTATAAAATAATTAATAATAATAATAATAATTAATCTGTGGTTTACAAATCCTCACAAATAAAATACAGGAAAACAATAGCATGTAAATTGGGAAGGAGGGGGATATAAAAATGAAACTACTCCATGGTCCTTGAATTCTTTGAGGAGGGAAGGTGATTAAGATAATAACTTCAGATTTTATTACATATTCAAGAGAACATTATCAGGGTAACCTCTAAAGAACAGAATGAGAGAATTGGTGTAAGTTTCAAACCAATAAAGGGGAAAATAGAATAAGGAAACAAAGAAACACAAACTCAATCAATTTTTTTAATAAGCCAAGAAAAGAGAAAAAAATAGAAAAAGTGGGACAATAGAAAGCCAAAAATAAGATGGCAGAAACAAGGCTAAATTATAGATGATAAATAAATTATAAATAGCTTACATTCATCAGTTAAAGTACAATCTGTTGGATTGTGTTTTTAAAAATCCAACTACATGCTATTTAAATGAAATACACCCAAATAAAGATTTGGAAAAGTTGAAAATAAAGTAATGGAAAAAGATATACCAAGCAAATCATGAGCAAAACGAAGTGGGGTAACTATTGACCTTAGACAAATGAACCTTAGGACAAAAAGCCTAATTAGTAGGATGACCACATATCCTGTTTGCCTCAGACAGTCGCGGCTTACTCCTGCTACCCTAGTATTCTTATTACTAGCATGCCCTTTGCCCTCAAAAAGGATCCCGATTAAATAGATGACCTCCCTTATTATTAGAAATAAATAAGGTGCCTTGAGTTTGAGTGCAAATAATTTATTTTAGGAAACACCTAGAGGGTAGTAAGGAAGTGGATCAGGAAAGAGATTAAAGCCAATAAAGACTTTCTTTGTGTTGTAATCAAACCCATTAACACTGTGGGAAACTGGAGCTCAGTCCCATGAGGATCCTTGGGAGACAAACATTATTTTAGGATAATCCCACCTGGGAAGCAAAGAAAGAGCGGGTATTTATCCACCAAATCCCCATCCATCTTTGGTTTAAGGCTACTTCTGGGGTCTTAGCTCCCAGTACTTCAGTTTGCCCTGTGTGTGGTCTAAATATGTTTTCCAAACAAAGCTGCAGGTACTCACAGAAAGCAACTCTCAGTGTAAAGGTAAATTCTGAGGGGTTACAAACAAAGCCTCAACATGGTCTGCTACAGAGGTAACTACATAATATTAAAATATGTAGTTCACACACACCAAAAAATATATTAACACTAAATTGTGTTTATCTAACTATCTAACCTCAAAATATAGGAAGTAAAATTGATAGTGTTATAGGAAGAAATTTTAAACTCTACTTTTGCAGTGGAAGATCTCAACATATTTTTCTCAAATACTAATTGGTCAAACAAGCATTAAAAGATAGTAAAAATTATATAATTTTAATAGTTTAATACACAAGCTTGGTTTTTTGAAAATATATAAAAATCTACACCAATTAAAGAAGATCTATTCTAAAGAGCCTATGAAGAG